CTGATGCTGCCCTATTTGAGATATTGATTCAAGTTAGAAGTACTTCCTCAGAACGATTGAACTAGCATTTTGAGCCGTACGACATGGAAGCTCCATGTTTTGAAGACGAGCCTTTCAGTCAAAAGTCTGGCCCCGCCAAAAGTCTACGAACCCTTGTTGATTCTGTACTTCGAAGGAACCAGATTTTTGATGGGCCAGCCCTTTTTTATACATCACTTTCCCCTGTCCAGAGCAAAGAGAAGGCACAAAAGAGCTGCCCAAACGGCATAAGCAGGCTGAGCACTGGAGAATAAATTGTATTTGGCATTTTTCAGGGTTTCTATGCATCAGTGTCAGAGAGAAAGACACTAATCCGTGGAAGGAATATTGAAGACTATATTTCAGGTTAGCAACATTTTTCAGTTGTGAAGCCACAAAAAGATGCCATCTAGAAGTTACATCCACTTTGATAAATATGCTTTGAATAGAATATTCAAATTATAATGCAAAGAGCAGAGCCAGAGAACATTTTGGAGGACTTAGGAAAAGGGGAAAAAAAAGCTGCTAGTGCTAATAATTATGCACTAAAAGTCTAAAATAATACAAATAGTATTGCTACTTTCAACTCCACTTCCTACATGAATATTCTCGCTGCCTTCACTTTTCATCATCCGGTTGGAAATCCATACGGTCTATATATCCACTATCTGTCATCTGCAAGTTAAGTGACTTTATCTCTTCAGCATAAGTAGAAAAGGATACTGAGATGAGTAAAGAGATGAAAAATCCAATGATTCATATGAACACACTCTTTAAGCCTTCAATCCGAATTAAGGCAAGTTCTACAAGGTCTTGCTTAAAACAACAATGTACATGAAGCACGATGCATTCCATACACAAACTCTAGTAAAATACTATTCTCCAAGTGATCTGCAAAACTCCCCGTTACCAACAGACTGTTCAGTGCAAGGAAAACATCCATTGGTCCAATGTAAATATAGGAACTCTGAAGATCAATCCACAACCTGCAAAAGGTTACACATACTAAAGAAGGCAAGTAAAGTAACCATCAGTGGCTAACCCTGAAGTTAGAATCCGATACTATTGTGATGTGATGTGAACATTATACACCAAAATCCACTAAAATCTAGCAATAAACAACATTATCAACGATTTGAACCTCATGAAAGACGGGATAAAACAAAGATAAATTGCAATATCTAAGCTGCAATTGGTATTGCAAATCGGAGGAGAATAGACTTTAATCTCCTTCAAATACAGAAGCTATGAACTAGGTACACATGTAAAAGAAGGTACAATGAAAACAGAATCTATCTATTACAAATTTAATGCCTTTTATAATTTTATTGATCACCGAATTTTACCAATACGCACCCAAAATCAAAGAAAGTCCGCAGAAATTTAACTACCCTTAGATACAAATCAGACCAAACAATAAAATTAATTCAATAGAAGAGATGGAGAGCATAGTAACTCACCCAATTGCCCTGAGAGCCCTGCCTTGCCACTGGAACCTGACCCGCCCAAACCATATCCATAACCACCAGCGGAACCATCAACACCATCCACTCTCCTCATCCTCTTAACCCCCATGAAACCATCATCCTCGCCACCACCGCCCTCCTCATTATATTCCTCCTCATAATACTCCCTCCCTCTCCCCTTCTTACCATATTCCACCCCTCCAGGCCCCGAGGGCGGCGGTAACCGCGAATGCTGCTGATTCTGACCGGGATATTGAAGTCCAGAACCCATCTGATAGTTATTTACATGATGCCTCGGCCCAATATGCCCTCCCAAGATACTCCTCACCGGCAATAAAAAATAAAACTCCTTATCCCCAATTTGCAGTAGGTCCTGCGAATCGAGCTTCACAGGGGGGTTCCCAGGAAGATGAAGCACGCCCTCGACGAAACAGCCGTTCTTTCCAAGCACCTCGAGAGCAAAGCGCCGCCGCTGGAAGTCGTAAAAGATGCGCGCGTGGTGGCGGCTGATGTTCATGCCACCGCCGAGGGAGGAGAGATCAACATCCACCGAAGATTTCTTGGAATTGCGCCCTAAAACTATTGAATAAGTCTGCATATAGTACTCGAAATCCTCTCCCTGTAGCTTCGCGAACCCTGCCTCCACATCGCTGCTTCCCATCTATGTTTCTGTAATTTGTGTAAAGAATCAACAGAAGAACAAAATGAAGATTTAGCCCCCGGTTTGTCACCCGTCATTTCGAAAATGAAAGTTTTGAATATTGTTTTTTCGAATAATGTTTGATTAAAAAATAAAGAAATATTGTGTATAAAATATTTTATTATATGAATACGTAATGAAGAATAATACTATAACAAATAA